TACAATATAATATTTAGTAAGTGGTAATAAGTCATAACGATTAAGTGAAACTCTCACTCAGCCATCAGTTTAATTAGTTATTTCGCTTTTAATACCTAGTCCTATATATTTAGCTAAATTCGTGCTTTAAAGTATTAAACTGAAATGCCACTTGAAAAATAAATTCAAATTATACAACTTATATATTTTGATTTTTAAAGGTAAATCGTTAAAAAATAAAATATTATTGAAATGTAAAYTCATTAAAATTTGAAGTTATTAGGAAYGCGGATTATAAATTAAAAATGTAAACAAGCTACAGGTTAGTTGTTAATGCATTCGCCTTGCGTCGATCATCTTATAAATAATTGTATGATGTAATAGGTATTAAAGTTGTTATATTTTTCAAAGCTAAATAAATTATTGCACTTGAAAAACGATTTTTTTTGTTTAAGAAATAAATTAACTAATTATGTTAAAAATAAATTTAAAAACTGTCCAGTTAACGATACCTTTATAATTGGGCAATACCCTTGTTTTGTTTACCGTGACCAGGATACGTATGTATGCGTAAATATGCAAATGTAAGCAATCGTTTTTACTACCCTCTGAAAAAGGTGTACACTGTACACCGTTTAAAGCACTCATTGTTGTAAATTAAATAGGTTCTTGCCCAGGTTAGAATAAATTATGTAAAAAAGATTTAAAAAATTTTGAAATGTATTATTGTGTAAAATAATTTATAACTGAGACCCACATATTATGAGTGTGATTAAAATGATTCGAAGGCCAGTATCTTCTTTTGCGTTACCACCTAGCTTCCTTTAAATTGATTAATTAGGTTGCACCACCTAATTCATTSTTATGTAAGTAAGAAAATGTTTTATTACAATGTAGTATGCATCATACACATGTAAACATTCGTACTATGAGAGTTGTACATGGTACTGTGTAATTATTGAAAATAGATTTTCAGCTTCTAGGTTAAACAATAGAAATAATAGGTATTTACTCATTTTCTAAAATAATTTCCGACCGCACAATCTTTGAATTAGAGTCTAATTATTATACACTAATAGACTAATTKACACTGCAGGTAGCAAACAGTTGTTACTCAGTGGCACACACAGGCGTGCGCACAGGGTATGCGTTTGCATTACCCTGCAGGCAGACGCTTGGGAGCACATCAACAAATTAGTAAGTGTAAGATGAAATATCATGCTCATTAATTTTAGGATCATTTATATCTGTGGGAGAGGGATATATTTTATCAGCTGCATAGGTACCCTGCAAACAGTGCAAACAAAGTCTGCGCACGCCTATGATTATTGAATAATTTGACGCATATAGGTATTAGGGGTTCTCAATTCTGAAAACATAATCGTGTATACATAATATTATATTAAAGAAAACTAGTTAGTCGTGTTGATATGTATTATTACTACAACGACTGTACAATAAAATAAATTATAGGATTATGTTCTCTAATAAAAA